GTGCCAAGAGAATTTCAAAATAGGTTGACTAAAAGAAGAAATAAATTTGTTTGCAGCAAAATTTCCTCCTGGACGTCCGCCATATTGTTTGCTGCGATTTCCCGCCAGCACAACACGCATGTAATTTTGACAGTTCCGCTGTCCGAAATGTATGCAACAGTCGGCTCTGCGATCGCTTGCGATCGTCTGCGATTATATGGAAACAACTCTCTTTGCGATCGTCTGCGATCTGCGATTTGCGATCCGCGATCGTCTGCGATCGTCTGCGATCATATGGAAACAACTCTCTTTGCGATCGTCTGCGATCTGCGATTTGCGATCCGCGATCGTCTGCGATCGTCTGCGATCATATGGAAACCAGCCTTTATTTATCATCTCATATCCAACGCGCGGGCTTGGAATAACCGTTAATTATGACAAGGCTTAATGTGTTTGTAGCCGATAAAGAGCGCGCTCTGATTGACTAATTCGAGGGCATTATTCTCCCGTAATGCCCACGGGGCGATTACGGGCCTGCAAAAACAAAGCAAATAGCCAAGACAATAAATTACTTTTTAACCACGAACGTTCGTTCTTTGCGGGAAAATCTCAAACCTCAGCCCTGCCGTATTGACTTCGTTGTTGCTCGGACAATTCGGCAAGGTCGAAGCTCTAGATTTTCCTGTAAAGACCTCACTCTCGGTTAATAAGTAGTTATTATTAAATCTGGTCACGGTGATGACTTTTTCAGGAACGCTTCAATGAGCATTTATTGTTATAGTCATTAAAGCTTTATTATATGTTCCCGACTGGAAATAGTTTGGTTCATTGACCAGAAAGCGCGGGCATAGGAATTCGCTTCAGGCGTCCAACAAATTAAAGCGAGAAAAGGTGGCTGCTTTATTGGAGAACTGAAGAAAATTGTTTGAACTGAGGTATGTTAGAGTCCTGAAGTTTAGTATTTTGCTTTAAGGTTGACTTGAAGAAAATCAATGCAACCATGGGAAAGATTTGAATGCTTTATAAAATCACTTTGGTTGTGTTTCAGCTGATATTCTTAAGCATCCCACAAAATTAGTAATCGGTTAATGGGTACTAAAAAGACATCGGTACAAATTGTTTTGCGCAATGGGGACAAAATAGCCTTCCCATCTAGCTCCTTAATTTTTTTGGTTTCTCTTGGATAACTTTATCAAAGAAAATCGCCTGTGATCAGACTGCGAGGTGAGATTCAATTGAACTTGAAGATACGAGATTTGAGATATCATTTAGTCCAGGTAACATCATTGAATACCTGGTATCCTTTATTTCATTTTTTTTTTCCAATGAATTGTCGTAAATTCAACTGCCACCACCATGCAATATCACAATCTGCCTCAAAATGTAAGGCAAGCAGCGAGACTGAATGTAAGATGATGTAAATCAAGTCAAACAAAGAGATAATGTAAGATAATGTATTTTAAGACAAACAAAGAGAGTTATGTCAACGGTTACGTAAGACAAAAAGAGAAATAATGGAAGATAAAGTAATGTTAGACAAACAGAGATTAAATGTAAGAGGGACAAGGTTACTGTTCTTATACCGTGCTGAAATAACAAAACCTACATTATTTTTAAGGGCAATTTTCAAATCATTAAGGTCAGAACCCTGAATGTAACTGGAGAAGAAATAGCCGCCAAAAATTATGCAAATGTAATCTACTTTTACATTCTGGGCACGTTTCGTTTTGTTTGTGTTATCACTGTATGGAACGCCTCTTGGGTGTTTCAATGTCCTTATAGCACACAGAAGAAAACAGCCACTGTGAAGGCTTGTTAACGGCTGATGATGATCCATTTCTGAAGTGCTATAATTAGCAGACTTTTCCTGAAGCGTGGTTTTCTTAGAGATTTAATACTTCTATCTTGCTCTTTAACGGAAGTGAGAGCGTTTGCTTGTATTATTTCAATGATATCACGTTATATTACAATAGCTGGTGAAAACAATGGACTTTGATTAATATGGAGTCTTGATTAATAAAAGGTTATTCCGCCCGCGCATATGTTATTCGGGCGTATCCGATGTAACTCCATCTTGGAAGAAGTAGTTTACGCGATATCAAGCATTTTTAAGCCTGCAACTCATTTATGCAGTGCTTAAGTGGCGTTTTTCATTTTTATGATCCTTCAGTACATCTCACATTTTCTAATGAAAGTTGAAAGTTTACTAAAAAGACGCACTTGGAAAAAAAGCGCCAAAAGTTTATGCTAATTTTTGCAACCAGATGCACTGAGGTCCCAGTCACCTTGGAACAAGTACAACAAATAGCATAAAAATAGAAAAGCGGAGGCCATTAAACCAGAAAAAGGGACAAGAAAGCCCGCAAGAATTTTATTTTAACTACTACGGTCAAGATAATTTAGAAAAGTTTGTCGCACCAATCACATGGTTTACCTATAACAGTCAACTCTCGCCTTGTGGGCATTCCGCTGTTACTGATTGACAGAACTGGTTTCATCCCCAGCCGAAACTGCTACAACGAGATGTATTGATATACTTCCCGCTATTACGGACTCCATGTTTTTTTCTCGTTACGACGGACAACTTGAACATATTGAATGATATAATTTTAATTCTAATTATTCTGCAGTTTTGGAATGTTTACTAGCTTGTACACTGTTTTGACCTACATTATATGATTATGAATGGAAGTAAATGTATACTATAAATCTGAAAAGAAACTGAAAATTTTAGAGAGTATAACAGCACGTGACATTTCATAACCGAAAATTGGGTCATTTTCATCACACCCCGCTATTGCGGAATCTCGCTTTTGACGGACTCCAGGCGACGGTCCCGAGGGTGTCGGTTTTAAGTGTTAATCCCAATGGTGTATTACTTTACATTGTCTTTTTGTATGTGGTCGCTCGTATCTTGAACAAAATATAATATTTAAGAAAGCTTAATCCTTGAGGTTATCGTCAAAAGGTGTAACAGTTAATGTGATATCATTACTGTTTTCTCGGTTTATCAACCACCAAAATATTGCTGACTCATTAAGTTTGCCGTCAGAAGATGAAATGTTGCCTTGGTTTTCTGTATGAAATCTGTTCAATTCACAATTTTTGTATCAACCAAGTGATTTTTCCAATGCAAAGAAAGCAAGCCTCTCAGTAGTTATCTTATGCTTCGAATGTGCACAATACATGAGGCGAGATGTATATTTTGTATCCGTTGCACAATTTTACACATAACATACAGGACATTTGCTAGTTTTATTTGTCTAGTTTGTAAATAGTCCATAAGCACATACATAACTCTTGCGACTCTCACTTCTTATCACAACCGAATGGAATAAAAAAAGCTGTGATCATTCCGAAAGAAACCTCTCAGAAAAGTTCTCGCTGTGTTGTTTGTTGTTGTAGTCGTAGTTTTGCGTGGAACGCTCGCCAATTTGATCTTTGAGGGGAGGGCGTGGTCGAGTGGTTTAGGGCACTGGATTTGAAAGTTCAGATTCCTTTCCCTGCTATCAGCTAGATTTGTTCTCGGTTGTCCCAAGTTGAACTCATCGATGCCACTTTCTTTACAGCCTCTCTCTCACTAGGCATAGGGCTTGGGCACGGTTACGCTAGGCAGCCTCTACCAGTTGTTCAGACTTTTAACAACAAAAAAGCATGTACCAATTTGTTTAATTTTATAAACATTTTTTATCACTCATCGTACATATTGTATTCCACTTCAGCGTTCATGGCATTTTAAACTATTTTTAACTGTTATAAACATGTTACTAATAATTTTGTATTTTTTTAAATCCCAGTTAAAAATGACCTCGGTGAGCTCTAAACGCTATGACACTCTATCGCTTATTTTTCATCACAAAATGTATTAATTTGTTTCGGGTTATTTATTTTTGCCAGCAGCAACCATGACAGGCAGTCAGAGTGCAACAGTGCTGGTCCTTTTGGGTTGCTGTGTAGCAAGTGGTAAGCAATGTTTTCTTTCTTTCAAAAACATGAAGTGGTGGACAGCCATTTTCATTTTTCTCCAAGGCCGTAGCTAGACAAGGGACAAGGGAGCGAGCGCCGCAAGTGCAAGCCACTAGGGTAGTCTGGGGGCATGCCCTTCCCCCTCTCCCCCTACAAAATGCTGTAAGTCATTAGTTCTCTATTATGATCTTCTGGGTGAGGGTAGTTCTGAAAAGAACTGTTGTTGGTGGCTGACGTTTAACTACAAGTTTTTTTCCTGTCATTCGATAAAACGTAAATCGCTTAAGAAAATATATTGAAAGTTTATCACTAAGCTTAAGATAAATGTTTCGAATTCTTGATTAAATTTCCTGTTTTCTTACTTCTTTCAGTGATCATTTCAAGTGCTGAAGGTGAGG